GGGGGGGGGGGTAGGACTGTATACTAATCGATTGGCTGAGGTGAAGATCTCTTGTAAGATCGATGATGTTATAGGTGAAAAACACGTTTTTTCGTTCTGTGCGAACGAACGAACGTACGAACGAAGTTACGAACATACGGAAATTGCTCGGTGTATGACCCTCCTTTCAGTAGAGGGAATTATCATCGTTTCAATCTCCTTTTGGAATCAAGTTGTTTCATTTGACTAAGAAAAAACTGAGATCTATGGACATCGAGCAACATATTGCAGACATGACTAACACACTATTCTTACCAGATTTTTCTTTACGATCACCACTTGTTAATCCATTATGAAGATATATAATACACAGAAGAACAAGAAATATGGATGGAGCATTCGTTTTCTGTAATTCTTTAAGAACAATTTTCCATCGATAAAAAAAAAACAATTAATTTTTCGACAATTGGGTAGGGTGGATATGGAGGTGGGGGTGGGTGTTGATGTCAATCCAAACTTCATCGACACACATCTGAACAGATCACACCCACACCCAAGATTTTCATTAATCTTGTTCTATTCTGAATCAGATTCTCGTATGAAGACGTCGAATAGACTTTGTTCAAAAACTTGATAAAATCTTAACAAGATGATTGTTTTTATTCCTATCTAGATTTTGACTAGAATGAAAGATGAATTGTAGTACGTTCGTACATTTTAGGGTTTAACATTAATTTGATTAGAATCTTGAAAAAAGATCCGCAAACAATCCTTGCTAACCATGAGATATGTTACTTACAGAAGTTACTCAGATGCAAAATAAGATCGTAAAAAATCTTTATTTAAGGAATAAAAAGGACTAAGACTAGAGATTCCTCGAATAAACTTTAAAATAATTTTTTCATCTAGTTTAGCCTGCAACAGGTATTGTTCATATGGTTGAAACAAATTTTCAATCAACATCGAAACTTAAACAACCATCATTTCCTCGCATCAATTTAACATATCCCCCGCTTATCCTCCAATAAAATAAAATTAATAGTAACAATCGTTCAAATACCTATGTAGTTACTTCTTATATTTTAGATGTCTCGTTTGTATAAACGTCTACAAGTATGCTGCTACTCTCTTGACTAGTTGTGTTATTATTTGAATTCGTCATGGGCGAATTCGGATAAAAGTTCGACAATTAATTTCAACTTCATTTCTCAGTCTTAAAACTTTCCTCAAAAGGATTTTCTTTTGTATATCTTTTCATCTCTGTGTTCTACACATGCTTGTATTTCGTAATTTTGTTTTGTTTGCTGCATAAAGACAATATTGAGGTTTTTTGTTTTTTCTTTAAAGCTAAATCTTTTTATTTTGCATCTTAATCGATACATTTTCTTCTTCTTATGTATTGATTAATATCTCTTCTTTTACATGCGTATATACATAGTAATAAGAACAAAAAGATTCATTGAATACTCATATAATTGACGTTTGGAATATTCTTCAACTTTTAGTTTCCATTTGAACATACTGAACTGATTGAAACACTTGCTAAATACTAATAAACAAAATATTTTTTAAGAATGAAACATTGAATAAAATAAACATTGATCATCAAGAGTTTCATTTGAAGAAGGAACTCTTTTATTTGTGCATCAAACTCATATTTTGAATTTATAATCAATTTTTATACTTGAATTTCGTCGAAAAACTGCCTCATGCAGTGAATAATGATGACAGAAAGAGATTAGTTGAAATCATTCAGAAAATAAAAGAATTCATTGTTGTACGTTTTGCTTTGAAAATTTTTCTAGTTGGTAACTTTGAAATGCATGTAGCGACCGAATCAAACCGCGTATACAATCGGATATTTAATATTTAGATGACAAGATATTTTATCCTTTGAAATAACTAAATTTCTTACTTTTCACTCATTTAATTCCTTTCTTATCGTTAAAATTCATTAGCTTAAAGAACATTATGCAACACTGAAATATCATTAGTAACTAGCTATCTTTAAATTTGAGATCGAAATCAGATCTTCAATCATGATCAAGACCTAAAAATCTACGGTAAACAGTTAGAATATCATATTACAGCACTAGTAAATGATTTTCTTTTATTCTACAGTTAACTACTAGAAAAAGAAAAATTGGAAGGACATTGAAGTTTTTTTTGAATCACATTGCTAATGAATTCACTAAAGAATTACATCACGCCTGAACTCTTTTAATACGTGAATTTTTACATAGATCTACGAGATTTATTGAGCCATTGAATTATCTAGTGTCTTACGATCTTGACTACCTTTTCTTGACGTTTTTTTAAGACCATTGTAATTTTCTTGCTTTATATGTGACTAGTAATAGGAAAAGGCCGATATAGAATTCCATAGAAATACAATGAAGTCATTTGACCTTTTTTTCTAATCGGATTAAATTAAACTAATCGATCAACATGTCTCATTCAAGTGATCGATTCAAAAATTTAAAAAGTCAATATCGATATGATATTCATTATCATCCGTCATATCAGCTTTAACAAATAAACGATTGCTTTTGAAAAAAAAAACTTATTACTGATGTCGCCAATAATCAACAAATTGCAAGTGTTTCATTATGTTGTAAAAAAACATCAAGAATCTTCGTAAAGAAAAATCTCATTTACTAAAGAATAATTCCACTTTGTTGTTGATCAAAGACAACAAAAGCAACTGTTAGAGTTTATATTGACTTATCTTGTTTCTCTCTTCTCAATTTATGTATTCACACATCAAATAAATCATCATCTTATAATCAATTGTAAACTATCTTTCAATCAACAACAATCATTTGGTACGAGAGGAAAAGAGAAATAAGATACACCAATCAATTGTTAGCTGAAAGTTGGAATCAAATAGAAAGAAAACGTTGAATCTTGAATCGACTATTCTTTCAATTCGAATTCACGAGATCATTAAGTAGGTGATAAATATGCAACGAATATTATTATTCGAAATTATGTATCAAGTTCACTAATTGATGTGAAAATCTTGGTAAGATAGAATATAAGTTTTTTTTTTTTTAAGAAAAATGAATTCATCTTACAAACATTTTAAATTGGTTTTTGTTTTATTTTAGAGTTAACAACAAATCATGTGGGATTTATGAAACTTTGTTGATGTCCAACATTAGATCCAAAGAGTGAAGTAATACAAGAATGTTTAGATAAAAATCTACTTCATATAGAAGGTTTTGGTACACAATATCCAGTTAATGAAGGAATAGATTCAATTTTTTTTTTGTATTTCATAGAGCTCATTTACCTGATGATTTAACGTGTTCTCACTGTGTATTAAAATAGTGTTATTATGCTGGAAATAGTTGGGATAATGGTATTGAGACAGGAAAATCATATCCTAGTTGTCGTTATCAAGAAGAGTTTTACAAGTAATTACTTTTTTTCTTCCATATTTCAGTGTTGCTGATATTAGCAGTGCTCTCAAAAATAATAACTTATTATTACTTCTATCAACAGGAACGGTGATGAATGTTATATTTCCACTTCATCCATCAAAAGAATTTCTTAATTAAATAAATAAAAATAATACAACACGTCGTTTGTATCCAACTAATGAAGTTCTTAAACCAAGCACTGGTATCGAACATTGGTATTTGCATTTATATGATTATGTTCAAATTTAAGACTATATCTCGTATTAAGAAAAGAAAAAAAAACATATAACTGTTTTTGAAAATCATTTGCTTCAAACCTTGAAAATACTGTATTCATGAGATTAATCATACTGAGATGTTTAGCTTTGTCTTTTACAGTTTTCCAATGTATATGGATTGATCAATAAAACATTTAATTATTCGTATAATGAAAAACTGCAAATAATAATAAATTTGACAAATCAAATTGAACGACTCATTTATTCTTTCCAAAACTTATAAATATTAAAGCATATAGTTATTCCTATATGAGCGGATGCTTTATGAAATACTTTTCTGATAATAAGTCACAATAGATTTAATCGTTTTTTTTAGATTGATAATCTTCAATTTTAAAAACGAATCTTTTTTTTTATTGACATATTTAATCAGCAGATACGAATATCTTGTCATACTAAACGATACAGAAAGAAAAAGTGAAAATTCTGTACTTCAAGGATATGTCAAATCTATTCTCCAAAATTTTTTAGGCATTTCAAGTCTACTGTCAGCGTTTGTCACGAATATGGTCATAACAAACATTGATAGTGGACTTGAAATAGCTAAACAGTTCTAGAGAAATAGTTTTGACACACCATTGGTGAATTACGGAATTTTCACTTTTCCTTCCACAGGATAATCTCATAACGTAGAAAGTAAATCTATAAACACTACCGATAGCGAAAAAGAGAGAGAGAGAGAGATAGAACAGAAAAACACATATATGTAGAACGAAAGAAAATATCGATGAAATACATGTTTATTTACAAAATAGAAAAGAAAAAGAAGAAATGTCCTAATCATAGTCCGATCTAATAGTTTTCAACATTATTTTTACAAAATTCACTAAATATAGTTTAAATTTTGATTTTCTTTAGATAATTATGTCAACTACAATTCTTCCAGATATTTATCGTCATACCGCAAGAAAAAGTACAATTTCACGAAATGTTAAAATTTCATCTAATAATTTACCTTTATATAATTCAACATCTATTGTTGATAATAATAATATAAAAGAAGAAAAAATAATTTTTGATCAAATTCAATCTGATTATAAATTTGAAAAAAATATTCAACAACAAAAACAATCATTTCTTATCTTACCTGATAATGAAATTGAACAAATGATTATTGAACAAACAAATGAAGAAATTATTAAAGATATACTTGAACAAATTCAAAAACAAATTTCAAATGATTATTTAAATCAAGTTAATTATAATTTTAACTTAAAAGAATATAAATTGTTTTTTTTTTGTTTTTTGGTTCTTTAGACAAATGGAATACAAATTATTTCAACAGATATTCATAATTGTATTGATTCACTTCTCAATCATTTTGATACAAATAATAATGAATGTAAGTTTAGTGTTTTTTTTTGTTTTGTAACAAAGAGAATTTATCTTCAAAGAATCTCTTTTAGCTATTTCAACAATAAATGATGTACAAATGGAAGATATAACTAGAAGTTTAACTGAACAAACATCAATGGAAAGTGATCAACAGTCTTCAATACTTTCACAATTTGATATTATAGAACCTGAAGGTATGATCAAATATTTGTTTGCTATTTTATAACGATGAAAATACATTACTGATTCTAATAAGATTAAATCCATACACTTTTTTCTTCCTTATTTGAAGGAATTCATTGTATAGATAAAAACAATCAGGAGCTGAGCTGATCACGATAATATAAAGTATTCTTCTTCAGAAGACTTTCTTTGAGGAATTAAGTCAATCTTAACTATAGAAAAATAGCTGTAAGCTGTTATTTTGAAAATTCTACATCTAGAATCAATATCTACTAGTCATGCACATTTATGTACATGTCAATGTCATCAAACAACATCTAATTCTGTAATAATAAATCCTACAAATGAATATATTTTATTTGAACGTATTTTACAACAAACACGTCAAGAAGAACAAGAAAAACAAATATTAAATAATAATAATCGTCTATTACAAACATTAAAACATCAACATCAAGAATTAATGAATTTTTATCAAAAACAAACCAATATAAATAAAATCGATCGTGAACAACAAACGATTCATATAGATCAACAAGATTCACAAATTCAAACTGATTCAACAACCATTCAACAACAACAAAATTCTAAATCAAATGTTTATGTATATGTAAAAACAAAAATTCTTTTTTGTTTTTTGTAATTAATATATTCAATGTTTTTTTTTTGTGAAAATAGGTTAATGGAATAAATCCTGTACCAACTCCGAAAATTTTTCCAACAACAAATCCACGTCCTTTTAATACATTTCTTACTCCAATTCGAACAACAGGTCCATCATTACAACAATTAATACCTTGTTTAACAACAACTAATACAGCTTCAACAATAACATTAACAAATAAAACATCAATAATTAAAAAAATAACATCAATTCCAATAATAAATTCTCATCCTCCTCCACCACCACCACCACCACCACTACCACCACCACCACTTGTTACATCTTCATTATCATCAACTTCGCATGATATTGTTGATTTAACAGAAGAAGATGATGATCATACAAATAAAATATCAACAGAAAAAATTTCATCTACTGCACCAGTTAGAATATTATTCTCCTTGTTATTATTATTGATTTATGAATATTTTTTTTCTTAGGAACAAAATCCAATATCTGCACCTACGACTATTCGTAATCGTATGTTTTCTTTTTATGAATAATAAATTTTTAAATAATATATCAAATCTTGTAGAACCAACAAATCGTCCAATTCGTCCAAATACTACTATTCCACTTGGACAGGTAAATAAAGAGCTTTTCGTTGAGATTTTCAACTTTTTAATAATACTTGAGTCAAACTAACAAATTTAAAATATAGGTTGTTCTTGACATGTGCAAATCTGAAAGGATCCGCAGCTCCCTTGTGCACAGACTTGGATATTCGTATTTTAAGGTTTTTGCTCGCAATTCAAGGTTTTTTTTGTGACGGTCGGATAGAGCCTATCGAGTTGCTTAAGAAAGTAGTACGTTTCAAATTAAAAAGAGAATTTTTGGGGTCTATACTAATAGATAATAATACGATTTGATAAGAAAGATATGAATAAAATAAATTATAAAATGAATTCTACTAAATCAACAAATGTCTTCTTCTACTTTCAATTCTATTGATTGAGAACGTTTGAATTTCAGGCATTTCTTTCACGTCCATTACCTGAACATAATTCATGTGATAATACTATAGCTCGACCTCAATTAAGTATAACACATGATAATACAATAGTTCGATTAACTTGGAATTTACCTTCAACACCAATGGAATCTATACAGAATTATGAAATCTATGCATATAAACAAAATGTAACAACAACATCATCGGATTGGAAAAAAGTATAGATAATATAATTTAAAAAAATTTGTTAGAAATTTGTTGTTTTCATTTTTTTTTAGATTGGAACAGTTAAATCAATGCGTTTACCAATGGCAGTTACTCTAAAAGAATTTCAATGTAATTGTCATTATGCATTTGCTGTTCGAGCAATATCAATTAATAATAATACTGGTCCTTTTTGTGAACCAAAAACAATATTTACAGGAAATATACCTATTGAACCTCTTAATACAAGTCAAATACTTAATCTATCATTATAATAAACACAAAAAATTCTATTTAAATATCTAAATTGTGTAATAATATATTCTTATTTTGTTTTCTTTTGTTGACTTTGTACTCATAAATTGTTGTTTTTGTGAAAAGAAATAATGTTCTACTGTCAAACTTACATTTGTTAATATTAAACAACAAAAAAAAACAATGATTTAAGAATGAATAAATAAATGTGTTAAACTTACAAATATTGAATTAAAACCTTTAAGGTGAATTTAAATAGTTGGATACAAAAATAGCTTTTATTTTCATAGACTTTATTTTAAGAAGTGATATTTTAGGGATCTAATGATCGAAGTAGGTGGATGTAAGAAGCGGTTGTCGGTGT